AAGTTACACAGATAAACCATCCACGTCAAGACACAATTTTGTGGAAACTTACGTGATTTTTGAGAATCAAACTCGAATGAACAATCCAAAAAGGTAACTTCAAAAAATAGTTTATGGATCATGGCGTCTTCCCCACTCAATTGCCAGTCTCCAAATTGGTTGGACTTGGAAAGAAAATTGCTACATAGCCTCCATATTCCAACCTGCCACTAGTGCCTTCAATATTTCCTGCCCACTACTAGTGTCATTAATTGGTGGGGTTTCAATATCAGTACATTTGTACAATTCAGCCGCATTTTTAATTCAAGAAATAAGTTAGGATAAACTTAGCTGCTAAGGTTATTGATGAAGTTACAGGGATTTTCGTGTCGCTTGTTTTCAAAATACTTAGAGCAGCAGACATTATGACCCATGCCTCATCTTCAATCACGTAACGCAAAACCCTTTTTCTTGTGGAGTTTGATTAATACTTTAATCTTTTCCTTATAATCGAAGGAACAGAAAAAAAAAGAAAAAAGATAAAGGTAGAAAAGAAGATCCCGAGTATTGCGAAATTGCAATAATAGAACCAACAAGCTGTCAGAAAATATAAAATACAAAAAAAAAGGGGGAAAGGAGCCTCTTCACCACCAATCTCCACTTTCGTCACTCTCACCTCAGGCTTCATTTTCCCTTTCAAGATGGGAAAGTGTGCAATAACAAAATCTTTTTGGCACTTGCTTCGAGTATTATCAGTCTCGAGAATTTGTAAGGCCATGTGGGTTGCGCAGATCTATATAGCCACTACCCACTGGATATTTGGCAGATCTAAAGCTTCGGAATTTATCAAGAACCAATCGGTTTCCCTTTTGCAATCAGACAAGTTACTCTTTGTTTTGGGAGCACAACCCAAATGAGAAAGAGACCAATCGTTATGGAGGGTCACTCTCCTTGCAACCTCATTTTCCATTAACAACATGGTAGTTTCTCTTTTTTGGTGGTACAAGGGAAGGGATAAGGGAAGGGGGAAAGAGGACCAGGGAAACCCAGCAGTGAGAAAGGAGACGGAAAAATTCCCCAAGTGTAAAGTGGCTATTTGGCATAACAGTTTAAAAGTTTTATTTAAATTAATATTTAAAGGGCAAAAGCTTTTGGTAAGTAAAAATCCCAAATGAGGCATCTTGGGGGTGGAGAAAATTGCTTAAACTCAAACCACAAGCCAAGCAACTTATGCTGTATTCACTTGGTGATGGCCAGGATACCTTTCTTTGGTTGGATCATTGGCACCCTTCAGGTCCCTTAATAGATATAAATGGTGATAGTGTTGTGAAGAGTTCAAGACTACCATACAATGCAAAGGTATCAACTGTTGTGCAAGAAAATTACTGGAATTGGTCTTTAGCTAGATCCCAACAGCTTGTTCAGATCCAAATGACCCTTTTTTATGAGCTCTACCCAAAGGAAGGGGTAAAGGATTCTATAATCTAATTACCATCTAGATCAGACACTTTCAATACAAGAAGTACATGGCATTGGCTAAGGGAAAGACAAGACAAAGTCCCATGGCATAGACTGGTTTGGTTCTCACAATCAATCCCTAAACACCGCTTCATTAGTTGGTTGGCAATACATGATAGATTGACTACAAGAGCTAGGCAAAAGAAATGGGCAGCCAACATAAATGATACATGTTTATTTTGCAATTATGAGGCAAAAACAAGTGCACACCTCTTTTTTAAGTGTAGCTACACAAA